TCTTCTGGGACGCACTGTATCTCAGCTGTGCTATGCAAGCTTAAAATTTGTAGGCTGATTGCTTTTTCTGTTTATGAATATGTGTTTTGGAATGTATAGATGATGAAGAGAAGGCAAATGGTGTAATCATGGGAAACATGCAGCCAGTGAGAACACAAAAGCCTATTCATGGTTCCTTTCATGTAATATTCTGTGGAAAATGCAAAATCATAAGATGTAATAGCACTCCTCCCACAAACAAATATGAGTCCTGCTGCTACTAAATCTACTAAAGATTGTGTGCATCTGTAATGCATGCATACAGCAGTTGGTTAACAATTTCTAACGTGCATGTATGTATGGGAACTGCTGAATCACGGCCTGAACCTCTGATTGATCCCCTGAGGCGAGCCATGAGTCAGCCACAGGAGCACAGGTGAAGGCAATTCAGCTGTGCTGCCGGAAGGAGGGGAGCCTGGCTGCACCTCTCCTAGACCTATTTAAGAGCTGACCACCAGTGGGGAAGGATCTCTTCTGGAGATCTACTCCGCTGGAATTTCATAAGTAAACCCAGGATGCGGGTAAGCATCCTATCTTTTCTGCTTTGGTGTAATAACTACACCAAAAAATAAAAAATACGTAGCCAAGCTCTCTAGTATACCCCGTAACTATAACATCTGTACATTCATTGATTGTACAATGTAATTGACAGTAGTCACAGAAATTCATGGTAAATGTTACGCTTTTTTAAACCACTGTACTGTAGAAGACTGAGTTACACGCGCTTGCTCTGATTAAACTTAGCTTTTGTCAATTCTGTTTTGTATCTTGGCGGAAGATTCAGGAATGAGATTTGCAAAAGGCCACTTCTGGCAACCAGTTTCATATCATCACAGTGATACACCAGTGGGAAGCTCTTGGTGTATTGCTCTGTCCTAAAGTGTGAATAGCGGCCAGTGATCCAGAGTGATTTCTGAGAGATTCTAAAGAAAAGCGACAACACTTATAGGCTCAGAAATATGGCAGGCTTTTCTTTACTCTGGTGTAAAAGTCTCTTATTTTAATAGCTCCATACACAGCAGGCTAAAAAAAAAATTAGGTCAGTGGAAGTAGCATTTCAAAATTAGGGAAGTAGATTGGGATGAGATACAGAATTATCAGGTGGACATTGTGTCAAACTCACTAAGTTATACACGGTCTTAAACTCTGAAGTCACACCGTATTACTTTCATTGGTGTGGATTTTCTCATTTTCTTTTCCTCCCCAGAAAACATTCTGTATTTTGGTATTAAAGAGATATGTGCCAGGGGGATGCTTCTTCTGAAGTGTTAGAAACTGGAAAAGATAATGTGAAATCTGGCAAGGTGTTTGTTTGTTTTTTGTTTTTTTTTTTTTTAATATTAAAATACAATGCTTTGAAAAAGGATGTACATTAAGGACTCTCAGGTTCTGATGACAGAAAGAAATGTGATCAAAGGGTCTTAGAACTGAAATCGAAAATTCTGCAATCTTCCTTTGAGGCAGTGGCAGGCAAGATCCCACACATCTGGAGCAGAAGGAAACTGAAACAGGAGAGGATGGTTATGTATATGTCACATTTGTTCATGTAAATGGTAACTAAACAAATAATAGATTTTGTTTCTGAAGTCATTTTGGAATTTACTGCGGCGTGGGACATGAGAGCCCTGCTGCTAGTAGGAATCTACAGTTGTAATATCCAAGCTGTTGAAAAAGTTTTGATCTTTATCACCATGCATGCAGTATTATGGTTGTGCAACTGTTGCAGCTTTTTGTTATGCTCTGCCACCCAGGCATGAGTTGTCTAGTTCTTTGCTTTTTAAGATATTGTATATAATGTTGATGTATCCAAATATATAAAGCACCACCACACAATAATAGTAGAAGCTTATGTTGCTTTGCTCCTTTTTGGGCCTGTTTGCTGATGTAGCCCACATGTTTTCATATTGACCTCTTCTCACTGATATTGCTTTTCTTGCTTAGGTCTGTGTTGAACATACTTTCTCTAACTGTGCATGTGTTTCTTGGTTCTTGGGTTTCCTTTAAACTATTGGCTTGTACTAGGATCCCACATTCCAAGTACTGGTGTAACCCAGTTAGGAAATGGTTTATTCTGTGTATGTAGGAAGAAGTTTCTTCATTCTGCTTTCCTCAGCTGTCATCCATGTATGTGTAAATTTGTGTCTTCTCTTGCTGGAGGTTTTCATACACACAGCTTGCACCTTTACTAAATAGGATTCTGGTTAATTAAAATAATAAGGATCTAACTAGAATTTGTATCAGTGGAGTCCACATAAATCTGTGTAACACTTCAAAGGTTTTCAAATATTAAAACACATATCCTGAAATGCCATTCTGTGTTCTTATCAAATCGTTAGTTGTACATAAAGTGTATTAATTTCTGTAAGCAGATTAGAATCTTGCTGTGTCCAAGTGCCACGCTGATTAATGTATGCCCACTCCTTGTGAGGTTTCAGTAGCAGCACTTGCTGTCTGACTTCTTACCCATCCTTCCCAGTAAGGACAAATTCAGACTTTTTCTTACTTTAAAGCCTCGTCTCCATCTTCATGATATTCTGCATTCATCTGTGACTTCTCACTCCTTCATTCTAGTAGACTGCACATACCAGACTGTGCTGTTTCTTAGCTGATTCTGTCTTTAGAGTTTGAGTCTTCATTGTGATATTCCCTTCATTAAAAATTGATTTCACTCTCTGAAGAAAAGCTTGAACCTAAAATCATATTAAGTTTCCCTTTCCGCACATTTTTCCAAGAGTGGTGTCCAAAACATTAAATTATGATTGCATCGGATTTTTAGTCATGGAAAAGATAGCTGTTCAAGGTGAAAAAGAAGTTACTGTGTTTGTGAAATATAAATAATTTATCTTCAAGTCATTTTTTTGTTTTCTGGTTTTTAAGCAGCAATTGAGGTGCAGCCATTTCAGTGTGCCTTGCCTGTTTAAAATTTTACTTCCTGCCCCCCCCAGCAGATTCAGAAAGAAATAAAAAATCCCAACTGAGTAAAAACTTTTTTGTTCCCCATGGTTTCTCCTCATGTGATATTTGTATTCTTTTTGCTGTTTGAAAAGTCCTCTTTTCCTCCCCAAGGCAACAAGGCACAGCAGGGATGCTTTCCTTCCTGCAGTGAGTAAAACAGGGTTGTTTTAGAGGAAAGTAAATTGGAAGGGATATGAAATATGCAAATCTGTGGAAAGCCTGGTGTTGCTTGTTCAGCCATTCCTGAAACAAATTACACAAATCTATGGACTGGCAATTACGTTTTTTGAGATTAGGCCTTCTTCTGTTTGACTCAACAGTTGTATGTTGTCTCATGCTTTTCCTGTATTTTGTATTTTACCAAACTTAGTGAGCTATGGGATTTTTGTTGGGATATGATGTTTGTTTTCTGTAAGGCTGCCAAAACCTGTCTGTGTTTTTGGAGTTGGGTGTCTTTCCAGTCACTTAAAGGGATCTATAAAGAACTTGTATATTGGCTTAAGTAACTGAGAATATCAAACAATACAAAAAATAGAAGAAACTTGATGAAGGAGGCAAAAAAAAATAGTCTGCAGTTGTGTGTAGTGGAGCTCCTGATGGGGTTCATCTGTGACTGTTCTGGATGTGTTTCTGCTATGGTTAGATGGCAACTGTTCCTTTTTGTTCATTCCTTTCAGTAATTTGCCTATTGTGTTTTTAAATATTTTTCTTCGCCTTCTTGCTTCTCCATTCTGTATTTGTCTTTTGTTTTGACAGTTCCGTACTGTTCGTTAAATTCAGAAGTTCAGCTGCATATTTGAAATCTCATTTGATTTCATTATCTAGATAGAAGAATTGGTGATACTTACGTAACATCACTGTATCTTTAATGAAGTATCTTTCATTATTTAATTTTGCTGTAACTAGAAACAATTCTGTAAATACAAATAGATACTCATTTTTATTTGTATATACAAACAGATACTCTTCTGCACTTCCTTTGAATTTATGTTTTGAATTGCCAACTTCATAGGGAATTCATTTTATACTCTGACCAATAGAAATCATAATTAGGCTCAAAATAAAAAGTCCGTTTCACAAGGCTTTGTACATCTGTAATCCAAATGTAATAATGGTATAGAAAGAAAAACGTGGAGCAGCTTGTCAGCTTGTGGTTTGCACCATGAAGTTTCTGCTTTGTATGAAAAGAAGTTTACTTTTATGAAGTCAATAGAATATGAAGAAAAATTCAGTAACCTCTGTTCTACAGTGAGCTATAGCATCTCCATAGTACTGGATTCTCTTAGATGTGATTCCAAGTTTTTTTACTCATTGTAGTTGTTGGGCATTGGCACTGGTGCCCAAATCTGAGAAAACCCGAAGTGCCAAGAATTTTTTGGATCGTTAGGTTTATTTCTGTCTTTCACTATCAGAATTGGTTCACTTCTGCTATTAAGAAGGTAGTAAATGGTGGTATTTTCCTTGTGAGAAAAATAAATTCAGTCTGAACTCTGGGAAATTGTTCACTTGTAGCGTGCCTATTAAGGGTAATTCTGGGATTTGAAGTCATTGTAGATTTTGATTTTCTGCTCAGCAGATAAAAGTTAAACAGCAGAAATAATTATTTTTCACTCTGTGTCTAGTTATATTTGACTATGTATTTCAGAATTCATTACAGTAAACTATATTTTTTACTACTTGCTTTCTTGTGTCTCTTGAAGTATGTTTTGAGGCTTGAACGCATTCGTGTGGGGCTCTGTTGTGAATTCATTTTGTTGCACATCTTCGGTGAGCTATACTGAATCACTTAATCCAAGAAAGATATTTTACATTTGAAATTTCAATTAGCATTTCATGTTAGCATTCTTAATTACTTTATAACATACTGTTCTGTATGTGGGGCACTCTTAAAGCTGGTAATTGCTTCTTAAAAAAGAGCTCCTATTAAATACTGTGGCGTCTTTTTTCTTAATTTTAATGAAGTAATTTACATGTTTTATTGATGTCCTTTGTCCTTTTCTCAACAGTTCTCAAAATCTTGCTAATGTGATGGCGTAAACTAGTAAAAAGGCATTTGCATAACATCATGGATGTCAGCAATGGTGTGTGATATTACTGAGGTGGTACAGTGAGAGTCTACTGTGAAACATCAGAAGTTTATATTTCTTCTAATTTTGCAATGGTAAGATTTTTATTTTCTTGTAAGTAATAGATTTTTAGAAAGTAACAGCAAAACAATATTTTTGTCTTGTCAGAAATAAGAAATAATATACAAGTTTGACAATAAGTACTTGCCAAAATGTACATTGGCTTTTTTATTTATTATACTATAATGGTATCCATTTTGAACATCAGTTACTAATCCTCGAGTATATTGGTAGAGCAGTGTAGGTGGAGTATCTAAATGACCTTGTCTTTCACATTTGTGTTTGTCCACAAATGAGAATGCACTCTGGAAAGCAATGAGCTTGTATGTTAAAAGGGAGTATACAAGCACCAGTTCATGCATATGAAGTATAAGTACGAAAACCACTGTAGACACAGTAGGAACACCAAGCAGACAACGTTGTTAATTAAAGTGTCAAACTTAATTGCTTAAGAGGTGTAGCCTTCTTGTCCTATTCTCTCTTTTCTGCTCTAAGACTACATGACACCAAGTAGTAGAATTTTGAGAATTTATACTCTCACTTATGTCTCTTCATGAGACATAAGTCATTTCTGAAGTGAAAATAACTTCATGAAACAGTTTTCTTCCATTTGTCAGTTAAGCCTTCCTAAAATAAACATATAAAAGGTTTGGTTCTGTACTTCAAATTTTAAGTTTTCGCATCATGTGACAACTGAGCGGGTCTCTGAAATCAGGAATTTGGCTATATGGAGGAGGGAAGCAATACAATTATGCACAAATGTGAATCTACTGATGATCATGTATATTATGACATTTGTGGTAAAGTGCTGTTTGATATGTTGACTTTTTAAAGATGAAATGAACAGAAGAGGTACAAGACTAAACTGATGCTTATGAAAAATGTTATTTTGAGTTTGGGCAAATTGAGTACTCCTGCTTTTCACCCTGAAGGCTCAAATACATCCACTCTCAAACTGGTTGTTTTTAATTTAGCATTGAGTCTGAATTTACTTCAGTGTTGGTAATGATTCATCCAACCAATTGCATGGAAAGTTTAAAAATGGAGAGAACTTGGTAGATAGCATTCTAGTACCTCAGAGGAGGAAAATACAGTATAGCCAGGCTTTTCATTGATGTAAATGTGCAAAAACTGGAGACAGTGATCATGAATTGAAACAGAGGAGGCCTGACCTGTATGTGAGAAAAAATATTTTCTTTGTGAGGTCAAACACTGGAACAGGTTACCAAGAAAAGCTGTGGAATATCTGTACGTAACGGTTTTCAAGGCTCAACTGGATGTAGTCTTATGTAACCTCATTTGAATGTTATTTGAGCAGCAGGTTGCTTCTCAAAGTCCCTGCCAACCAGTGAATGATTTTATGATTCTGATTCCGACATTAAAAATAACTATTTTTTTTACAGGTTTAATTTCTTGGCACAGAAGAGGTATTAATACATAGCACAGACATGTTTATTTTGACACTAGATAGATGTGATAATATGTTCTTCAGAATTGCTTTTTCTATGGATGTTCTTGGATGTTCTATGGATGTTACAATTTTTTTCATTGTGGATTTTTTTTTTTAAGGTTTCCCAATGAGTGGATCAGGATGAACATACTTTAGGGACTTGCCATAGTATGGCTGCTTCTCGATCTACTCGTGTTACAAGATCAACAGTGGGTTTAAATGGCTTGGATGAAAACTTTTGTGGTCGAACATTAAGAAATCGTAGTATTGCTCATCCGGAGGAGGTTTCACCCCATCCCCAAGTACGGTCAAGGTCACCAAAGAAGAGGCCAGATTCTGTGCAAACTCAGAAGGGAAGTAATGGTGGAAGAACTACTGATTTGAAACAACAGAGTGCTCGGGAATCATGGGTGAGCCCTAGAAAGAGAGGACTCTCTACTTCAGAAAAAGACAATGTTGATAAACAAACTGTGGAAAATTGTGAGAAAAGACAAGGAGAACCTGTATCACCAGTTTTGAAAAGAATTAAACGCTGTCTACGTTCAGAGGTACCCAACAGTTCAGAAGAAGACTTGCCTACTAAAACAGAAAAGGAATCTTTGGAGCGTAAAAGCTTAGTGTCGGACAATGATGCAGTCTCTCCTGGGACTAAGAGAGCTTGTCGATGTCTTATATTGGATGACTGTGACAAAAGGGAAGTTAAAAAGGTGAATATCTGTGCAGAGGGATTTAATAATTCTGCAATAGTTGAAGAAATCACAGGCTATCAGACTGTCAATGGAGTTGGTGAAAGAGACTCAAATTCTCTAAACTGTGATGACTGTCAGTTTGATGGGAACTCTAAGCAAAACAATGCTGGCTCCTGTATAACCAAGGACAAAACAGTAGCAGAAAATGGAAACTCATTTGCCCATTCTTCATTGTTGCTTAATAGCAGCAAGGAGGACGGTGTTGTAGACCATTATGTGCCTTGCACAAACTCTCAAGAACAGGTAAAGTTAGAGGACCACAAAATAATAAGTGACTGTTTGCCTGAGGAGCATGCTAATCAGGCAGATGAGCCAGCTACTGGGTCCTTTTCTGAAATCCAGTCAACTTTGTTGAGGGATTCTGAGGAGGAAGTAGACGTAGTAGGAGATAGCAGTGCCTCTAAGGAACAGTGTGCTGAAAACACCACCAACAACCCGAATACTCATCATGACAGTACATCAATCTCAGGTGAACCTGAACCACATTCTTCATTGCTGGACTGTGTTTCAGCTCAGATGACATCTATTTCAGAACTTCAAGAACACAGATACACATTGAGAACTTCACCACGAAGGGCTGCTCCTGCCAGAAGTAGCCCTACTAAAAATAACTCTCCTTGTAGAGAAAATGGACAAGTTGAGGAAAATAATCTTAGTCCCACTGAAAAGAATGTACCTGTAGGTATTAATAATATCAATGGATCTCCCAAAAATTCTGAAGAGATTAAACAGAATGAAAAAGAGAGAAATTGTAATACAGATAATGGGAGTGACGGACTAAGAAAGCCATTTTCAGAGGCTAGGCTTGTTGCTGGATATGTACCATCTGCCAAAGAGAGTGCCAACAACCACACTGCAGAGGATGAGGAGGAAGAGCCTGATGTGTATTACTTTGAGTCAGATCATGTGGCATTGAAACACAACAAAGAGTATGTGTAACTATGGTAACCATGAATTCTGCTTTTGTCTTATAAAAATACATAATAAGTATTTAAAGTACTTTCAGAAAAACTTAACTGCTTTATAATTTTTGTGTTCTTCAGTACTCATTTTTCTTTCTTGCTTCTACTTCAAACAAAATTAAACTATTTAATATGCAGTATGGTACAGCAATGTGGTTTATACATCTCTCATGATGTGAGTTCTTTGGACAGAAATTGTTTTTGGAAACACATTTGTTTTTTCTCTAGAAAACTAGCTGGAAGCAAAACCAAAGGATTAATAACTCTCTAATTAAAGAGCTCAGTTACGTATCAATGCCTGTGACAGAGCACAGACAGTTTGAAGATGTGTCATTCTATTGTACGTAGAATTTAAGGTTAGATACCTTGTTTTCTTGCTCATGGGAAAGACCATTATCATATTAAGAAAGATGAATTTACTAACTGTAGCAGTTTGAGAACTTCCTCTGGAGTAAGTTACACCTGCATTGTTTTGCATTTAAATGCAAATATGTACATTCTGATTTTTGGAAAACAGCGCTGACTTGTTTTTAAATTTACTTAGGTATCTGTAAGTAGAATTGTGGTAATTGTAAATATATGATATCTGTGACAGTGATTCTTAAAACAGAAGTATACTTCTCTCAGTGAAGAAAGTCTACATAGAAAAAAATTGTCTTCAAAAAGTAAATTGGTCCAGATTTTATTGAGCAGTCTTTGTACTGCTCTACTGAGTTCTGCGTCTTTTGTAGTTGCAATGTTTGCTTCTCTTTCTGTTGTGAGTACTGAAAGGCCAAATGCAGGTGAACTTCAGTTCACTCCATATTAAGAGCTAAAGACACTGCTTTAATTTATGTAAATAGCACAATTGTAATGAATAAGAAATGCTAAGCAAAGATGATAGTTCAGTCCAGCAGAAATTTGTCTGTTTGGGGAGGATAGTAGTTGCATTGTTTTCATGGTGAAATTTTGCTCAGTGTTGGATACAAATACATTATTTTAATCAGAGAAAACTGGGGATTAGAGCATAATCAGAGCATGATTGAGTCACACTGAGATGTTAAAATAACTGTGAAAGATGTACAGCTTCAAGTATCAGTCCGAAGTATATGGATACTTTTCCTGTTAGATATAGAAAATGTCAGCTTTGTCTAAATTGCAAATGAGAAAGATGGACTGTTGTCTTTGAAATTTTTGTATCTGTGTATAGAATGACTTTGCTAGGTATGATAGTAAAAGTGATAGAGTTATAGTCATATACTATCCACCTCTTTGGTGTATAGTAGGAAAAGAATGATGAAGAGTAGGTCAGATTTTTACATGTAGCCTCAATTTTAACTTCTTCCAAAATAACCACATCCAAGACTCAGGAGTTCCTTAAACGAAAACCTGTAACTAAATGTAAATGCTGTAAAGAGAAAAAGAAAAAAAAAAAAAGAAGGGAAAGGTTGTTCTTATTAAATAAAACAGGTATTAAGGAGTTCTTGAAAAAATTCAGGAGTGTGCAGGAACGTGCTCTTTTATCAACTCTTGAATATTTAAGGTTGCTCTGAAAGTTCTGCTACTTGTTGTTCAGACAGGCAAATAGTTTGTGAGAGCTGGTCGGGGCCTTTTGAAGTTGGAAGTTTATATGGATTGCCTGCAACTTGGCCCTGCTCCTAACTTGCTGTCCAAATGCCTATTTTCTAAAGAAAGTGCTGTGGTTTTTATCTTATATTTAATCGATTTTTGGTGAAAAAAGTGAAACATAGAAATCTCTTCTAGATCAAAAATCTGTAGTTTTTACTTTTGACAAGGGAAGCGTGCTTTTGAAGATAGTGTTACTTAACTGGATATTTTTTTTTCCTTTAAAAAATGTTACTAATGCTAGAAGATTTTGGATGGAAACATGTTGTTACGTTCTTTTTTTAATGTAGGGTAGAGGTTATATTTGTAAGAAAATAAGTCTAGTATTCTAATGGTTTCTCTTGATAATATGATCATATGAAAGATCTGAGGTCTATACTTGGCATTTTTGAATGCATTATGAAAATAAATTATCTTTTATCTGGAACTTCATAGTTCAAGAATTAATAAAATACAGTGCAATGCATTCATTTCCAGATCTAGAAATAAGTGTTCACTGCAGGCTACTCTTAATTTATGTATTGTGGCTGTTCAGTAATGTGTTGGATTATTCCTGTTCAGTCTCACTTGATGCTTATTTTTGAAAACGTTAAATTAAAAAGTGATAGCAGAAGTGTTTTCCTAGATTAGTGAGGTGCAAGAGAAATTCCAGTGTTCCTGTGCTATCAGGTAAAGGCTATATTCATTTTGACTTCAATATTTTTAGCTTAGCAAAGTGTGTGCTGGTCTTAGGCTTATTAGATAAACAAATGGCATACCGTTTTGTTTTTCTGTCTTGTTAGTTTCTGATTAAACTTGTCTTTATGGATGATATTTCCTCTGGCTTATGTTTCTGTTCACTTTCGAAAGCAAATTTGGAGAGAGATTAACATTTTGACTAGGATCAGGAGGTAGATTTTGCAAGACAGTAATATTATTCTTCACATCCTCCATACAGGGTAAAAAAAGGCTCTGTTCCTCCATACTGAAGAATCAATTTATGTCTGTAGATTTAAATTATTTCTAATTTTATTACATAGCTTGATTACATACATCTTCATTCAGCTGATTTTTCACTCTCCAAGGAGCTGTTGCAACATTGATAAAACATCAATATAGCAAAACCTCCAACAGCCAGTGATATGGCTTGTTGTGTGGAAAACAAGTATATTGTGATACTCTTGTATCTATTGTTCTTTCAGTGTTCTCATCTTTAAGCAACATGCATGCATGAATATTTTTAGACAACTGATGGTGCATTAGGAAAAATAACCACAGAAAGCAAAGTGTGGAATATTATTCTGAGAGGTCAGAGTGGTGGGTGCTCCACAACCCTCTCACAGGATGTATCCATCCTACAAAGAAGGATTCAGGATCTCTAAACAAAACATTTATTGCAATGTTGGATGTTCGCATCAACACTGACAGGCTGATCTAAAGGCTTGTGTAATTGTAAAGTACTGTTAATGTTAATTTTCCTGTTCTTACATGCCCAGTTTGAATTGTTGTGTATTGTTGTAATCAGAAAAATTGTTGTTTCAGGAAAAAAGCATGGTTTGGTGAATATTTGAGAACTGTGCTTGTATTTCCTAGCTCAGAAGGGTTTGTGTTTTCTCTGGAGATATTTCCATAGAACCAGAGATTTTTGTTTAATTTTGCATTGCTGAATTTTATATGTTGTGCTTAGTGTTTTGCACGTGTCTTTTATCGATAGCATATAATATCTTTTCTTTTTTTTTTACATTTTAATTCTCCCTTACAGTGCAAAAGCTTACTTTAATTTTCTGTCTTTGCATTAACTTCTCAGTCTGTTTTCCCCTTTGTCCTGTATTTGTGTTTCATTTAATGTTCTTTTTTTTTTTCTTTTTCCTCTCTACTTACTGTTTTTGGAGGTTTGTATTGATTGGCAAGCATTAGGGTTGTATGAGGGGAAAAAATTCTGCTCAACACTTTTCTCTGGATCTACTGAAGACTTTTGGTGAAAATATGATTGAGGAATTGAGTTTCCGTGTACATATAAGGCATTATGCAGTGTATTTATTTCTAAGATCATGTAATTTGGTGGTTAGCTTTACAGGGAGGGGATTAGGCCGGTAGATACAGGCACAATTCATGAATTGTGCATGAATGCTTGCCTGCAAGCATTAAGATGCAAGAGCCAGTGTGTTGTGCTTGTTTGGTAAATAAATATTTTCATATCTTTGTTTTTATTACTTTGTAATATTTAAAATTGCAATAGTTGTACCAGCATTTAATCTGAAGTCAGATGGATCAGAATGAATTAGTTTAATACATCTCTTAAAACCCCATTTTGTCAATTCTTACTGTGGATTTTATTGTTGCAGAAACCTGGAAAGACAGAGAGGAATATGTTGGATATTCCAGTAAGATCTGATATTTAATTGATCACTCGTAGAAACGTTGATTTATTTGAATGTGTTTAACTTCCAATATTACATGCGTGTGACAAACAAAAAAAGCATCTCTGGCATCTTTTCCTATGTTACAAATTCTGTATTTTATTCAGTTGGTCACAAATGTTTCAACCTAATAAATCAGATTCTAGAAGTTCTCTGTAGAATTTCATCTCATTGCACTTGCTAGAATGCAGTCTGGTGCATCTTGATATGGTAGTTGTTCATTTGTTATTATCAGTTTCTTCTTGAAGTGCAACTCTAATGTAATTCTTCAGCAGCATTTTTCACTAATATCTATGTACCACTTTTTTTTTTTCTTTGACTGGATGAGTATTAAAAATCAGACTACTTTTCATTGATTATGTTTTATGATAAAAGCACCATATCTATCTTTATGTTTACATATTATTCAAGAATAAGTATATTACAACAGTATTTATCTCTGTATTTTCAGATATGTTCAGGTATGTCAGAGAATAGATCAAATTTATCACATAGTACGGATTAATCTCAATGTGCGGATAAGATTGTGTAACATTCCTTTGTAGTGAGGTTTGTAGCTATGAGTAGCCAGTACTGCAGACTGAATTATCCTTCTCTATTATTTTTCAGGACACCTTTATCTCATTTTTCTCTGCAGCATGCATGCAGTTTTATTGTGAGGAGACTGGTTGGTAGATTTTCAACATCTTCAGGAATACAACAAATTGGTGCAAATAGAAAATCAAGTTACTTTTCAGTGGCTGATTTTTTACTTACTGAGGTGGAGAATATTAGAAGAAAGCAGTTATTTTGTAAATATGTAACCTCTGCTGATTTCTTAATAGGAAGGTATTTTTCAGCACTGGTGAAGTATAAATTTTAGCATTGGAGAATAATAGAAGTTAGCAGCTTTATTTTTTATTTTAAAGGCATATGTGCCATATGCATTGGATCAGAATGTGTTTTGATTCTTGCTTAGTCTGC